GAGCTGGAATTAATTTGAAACCAACAATTACTCATTCTGATTATGTGTCAGTGGGAAAAGGGGAAGATTATAGTGTCAACAAGGCGATCCTTTGCATTCATTTCTCCTCCACTCCAATAACCAGTCATTCCAGTATTTTTTTAAGTAACAGTCAATCAACTCAAGCACTCCACGAGTCCATTCTGGGCTCTACCCTGGTTCAAGCTCTCCCTTCAGCAAAGCAGTTCAGAGTGTCCCAGTGTCCTCTAGGGAGTAGGTGTGGCCATAAGAAGTTGGAGATGAAGCATGTTTCTGCTAGTGAATCATTTTTTTCCCCCCATTTGCTTCTGTCACAAAGTTAGAGACACTTTTCTGGGGGGAGGGGTGCAGGTTGGTACATTTTACCTTAATAAAGAAATCACATTTGAGTATGCAGCAAGTTTTAATTTCTTCAGAGTTAAAAGGAATGAAAGCTGACTTTTTTCTTCTCCACATACTAAAGTGATATGTCTGTAACTTAAGAAAAAAAAATCTGGAAACTTCATCTTCTTGAGATTAGAGCTTCAAAATATCCTGTTTAATGTCTGTGTGGCTCAGCACCTATAGGGAAGGTCAGGTTTCTTCCATTTTGCCTGTTTCTGGCTGCTTCCTCTGATTCTCTTGCTTCCATCATAAATATTTCTTTTCAACTCCCTAAATTCTGTTTCCTCTGAGAGACATTTGAAAAGCAATTTTTTTTCACTATATATTTTACTTAGTTGCACTTTCATCTTAGAGTTGTTAACGTGCTAATGTGCCCCCCACCCATTCCTCTTCCTCCGTCAGGAAAAATGTTGAGCTTTTTTTAAAAAAGAGATGAATTTAATTGGTTAATTTCATAATTTAGAATCTTTGTAGTTCTAGTTACCAGAAAGGAGGGGATTCTTTAAGCTCACTGCAACTACATTTGCTTTTGAAGGAGCCCTTTATTTGCTGTGAATAAAGTGTCTCTTATTAAGAAGAAAATAAAAGAAAGTTTGGCAGGATTCTACTCCCAATGGTGGCAACATCACAGGAAATTGAGAAATTGTTTCTTTTTGGCCTTGTGGGAAAATTTTGCTGATGAAATTTAGTATTAAGGTTTTAAGACTGCAGCTTCGATGTATCAAGAAAGAGCTGTTGAGTGACTAGCAGCTTCTAATTTGACCCTTCTACATCTGACCTGTTGAATTTTTCATGTGCTCTGAGGAATGTCCAGAAAATAGTATTCTTTTCTATGAAATGACCATGCTTCTTTTTTAAAAAGAGAACTTAGCTATACTTCAGCAACTAAGGAATAATTTTAGCAAAAGTTGGCCTCAATTAGGTGCTTCTTTATTCATGTCAGTCAAAAAAAAAAGGTGTTTAATGTACTCAAACAAGAAATGAATTCTAGGAACACAATCTACTTTTATGCTCTAATTCACCTCTGGGCTCTAGAACTGAGGAAAAGCCACTTTGGACATTAAACTGGTATTCTGATCTCCAGACCATCTTGCTAATCTGACCATCCAACTCAGGCCACAATTCTCTCATGCCTTAATTTTTCTCAAACCCTCATAACCAGTCTCTTGCCCTTAGTATTTCTCTCCTATAACCCTGATTCTGCCCTGAAGCCAAAGCAATTTTTCTTAAATTAATATTGATTTCCTGGCCTAAGACTGGATGGGGATTTTGTTTGCAGCCAAATCAGTTTTCCCTATGAAATGCAAACTCTTGGCCCTTGCTTGTGTTTCTCAGTTTTTTCCTCTCCAGCTGCATCAGCCCCTTGATGCATTCACCACATCCCACTTGAGCCATAACTGGACTACTCACAGGGTATACAGGTACCACTTGATTTACAAGGGGGTTATGGTTTTAAGTTGAAAGCCATTTTAAGTTGAAAACATTGTACATGAAAGTTACTTTCACAACTAACCTACTCAACATCATAGCTTAGCCTCATCTACCTCATATTACCTCAAACATGCTAATGGCTGGACAAAACCATCTAGCTATACTTCAGCAACTAAGGAATAAGAACTGTTTTTTCATAAGATATTGTCTCATCTAAATTATTGAAGAAGTGATGGGCTATGAAACCAAAAGATATAATATCCAAAAATAACTGCTGGCAGCACTGTGCACTGTAGAGCACTAGCTGTTTACTCCTGTGTTCACCTGGCTAACCAGGAGCTGTGGCCCACTGCTGTTGCCCAGCATCTCCACTGAGCATTGTACAACACACCTGACAAAAGATCCATATTCAATATTTGAAGTATAGTTTCTTTTGAATGCATATCATTTTCATATACCACAGTAAAAAACTAGTAAATTGAACCATCAAGAGTGGAGAACTCTCTACTCCCCCATTTCTGCTCTTCCCCATTCTTGGTGAATCCTGATGTTCCCCAGAAGTTATAGGACTAGATTTTGAGTGCCCACCTGTCTCTTGGTTGGAATAGATGCTCCTCTTCTGAGCTTGCAGACCCCCTGGATATAGTTCTCAGATAGCTTATCTTCCCCCAAAAGTCATGGAAGGCAGGCCCTGTAGCTTGTTTCCCTTTGAATCCTCTGCTCTGTCTGTTGAATAAATAAATGGAGTGAGTGAATAACTACTTAGGGTGTTTTTCTATGTATAAAGTTAACCCTAATTATAATATTGTAAAATTTGGTTAATTTTGGCTACTCTGGAGCACTGGAAAAAGCAACTAAGAAAGATTGAAAAAACCCTTGATCTGGCATCAGAAGACTGAGCTCGGTCACTACAAGCTGATCTTTGCTAAGTGTATCAGCCTTTCTGAGTCTCAGTTCCTAGTTGATGAGCACAGGACACTTTATTATCCAGTGTGGCTGAGGACCAAGGGAGAAGGGTCTGGGGTGGATAGGAGTACTAGGTATATTGTAATGGTTGCATAAATGAGAAGAATTCTTGGGCTTTTCTTATCTGCAGTTGTCTTTTCTCCACCCATATAAAACACCAGCTGAGAGAGGTGGGAGTGAATGGTTTCAAGGAAAACATATGAGAGGTGAATATTTGTCAAGTCTCTACTCAGTTAGGTGGAGCCACACCAATGCAGAGTAGAAATAGGAAAAGACTCACCCTTAACTCAAAAATATACCTCTACTCTTTCATGCACTGTTGGTGAAAATGAGACCTGATAAAAAGCCACTTTAGCAATATTCATCCCTTTGAATTCTTATTCCATCTCTAGGATTTATCCTACTGGAATAATTTTTGAGAATGGGTGGGGACCACTTTAGATGTGTAAGATGTTCATTGCATTTTTGTTTATTATAATGAATGAAAATACTCTGAGATAGGCAGCCAGTGTGGGATTGCTATTGGCTTTCAGCAGGTCTTTAGTAAAATGGAAGATAACTTTGAAAAAAGTACTCATGTAATAAAAACAGTCTTAAAAGATTTCAATCTTCTGGGTATGGTGCACACTTGTAATTCCAGAGACTGAGGGAGTTAAGGCAGGAGAATCACAGGTAGAAATCCAGCCTCAGCAATTTAGGGAGGCCCTGCCTTAACATAAAAAGGCTGGGAATGTAGCTCAATGGTAGAATGCTCCTGGGTTCAACTCACAGTTCCATAATAATTATAATAAATTAATAAAAGTAACAATTTATTATTGTTGTTTATTATTTTATTAATATTTATTAATGTAATGGTAAATAATAATAATTACTATTATTAATTCAATCTATGGGTTAATTTTCAAAACGTTAGTTAAATAAATGTAGGAAACCAGAGTGCAAAGGGAAGGTACACCCCATTTTGAACAGGGTTAGTTGTCAGTAACAAATCCATAGGCACCACCCTATAAAGCAAAACTCAGCTCCAGTGAAAAAAGTTCACAGGCTTCTGTGCAAAGAAATCTTTGTCTGGTTTTGGACGGAGGCCAGGCCTTCATCTGGTCTTTCAAAACCTGGAAGGAAACATTCAGAGGAACATCAATCAAGAGTAAAAATCAGCTTTGAGGTTGGAGAGCTGAAGTTGTAGGAAACCAGGAAAGCAAAGCTGAAACTTCCTCTTGAAAAAAAAAATAGTAATAATCATGATAGTGACTCTATAAAACAATTTGAAGTGTGTAAGGAGTTTTTACACACATTGTTTGACTTCAACTGGTTCTCTTCTACCTAGCTTATTATCCTAACTGCCTGTAAAGTCCCTGCAGAGCCCAAGAGCTTTACACAGTTACTTATTTGGGCTGCATCCTCTTCACCTCCCTCATACCCAGGGATTTCCCTGCTGTGCTGAAGCAGCTTGGAACCCAGTGGAAATTACCTGAAAGGGAACAGCTATGCTCAAGAAAGAGCTATCTCAGTGGGCTTTATCACTGGAGAGCTTCCAGACATCTAGGGGTCTTACACATGCTTCGTGGGGCCTTGTCTTGTAAGAGGCATGGACCTGCTGCCCGCTGCTCTCTTGCAGCAAGTCAGGAATGGGAATTCGTGTAGAATTAAGACCCCCTCTTCTTCCTGAATCCTCATCCAGCCCATGTGTCGGCTCTCCTGTGGGATTTTGGGTTCTTTTTTTTTTTTTTTTTTCTGTCTAGTCTCAGCTTCAGAAAGGCTCTGTTTTCTCTCATTATTTTCCCACTTCACCGTGGCTCAGAACCATAGTGCATTTGTCAGATGCGTGGTGTGCCTTCACTCCCTCAGCTTTCCTGTCGGATGATTCGATACTAGGCAGTGATCTCTCCGCTTGGGGAGAAGAAAGAAAGTGAGAAAGAAAGAAAACAGCTCAGAGCTCTGGACCCTGGGTTTGGGCTATTTTTCTTGAAGACAAACTGCTGTCTCTTATCTGATTTGAACTTCCACATTCTCAGGATGAGAGATGAATCTTTACACAAAAATCCAAGGGTTAGTTTTCAGGTGTTTGAGAGGAAGCCTTGGTCCCTAGTGTTTTACGTTCCGGGCGGGAAGGGTAGTTTTTTTTGACTAAGGACAGCGACTGTCTCTGGTTTACACTTCTCTTTCCAAGTTTATTTTTTTTGTTTTGTTGTGGTTTTCAGATTTCTCATGGTTTGGAATTGGGAAAGTAAAATCAAGACAAGGTGTTGGTAAGTAGTCACTCCTTCTTTGGATAAGTAATGAGTTTATGTTGTTTAATTCAGATGAAACTTCTTGGATCTTGTTTATATTCATTGGCCATCCACACATTTTCTGTGTTCCTGGTTTCTGATTTCTTGAAGAAGGAGGTCCAGCAGTTTTCCAGAAAAGGCATTAGTTTTGCTAATTGAGTAAACGGTTTGCATTTTTGTAGTTGACTTTTGCTCTTTGTCCTGTGGGGATATGTCAACTGCTATCCCAGTTCTAAGTTGTGATGCATTTTTCAGAAGGGCAGCAACATAAAACACAACTGCATTGTGGCTCACGGTGTGTAATTAGCTGACTAGTCAAGCCAGGACAAGTTTGGTTCTTAATTTTTTTTTCCATCGGCCAAGATGTAAGAGAGTTCTGAATTGGTAAATCAGCTCTTCGTTTATGACCATTTCTCTTTCAAAACAGATTTTCTTGTCCAGACGCTGCGATTTGTGCTTGATTGCATTCTAGTCCTAGTATTCAGACTGTGTGCTGACAATGGAAAAGCAGGGTTCGTAGCTGACAGAGTGAATACAGATGATGATTTCAATCATTAGGATTGAAATCAGGTGTGATCTCCTGGGACTTCCAAATTTCTCAGTCTTTTCTATGGGTACAGAGACAACCAAGGAAAATTGCATAGAAGGCATGAAAAGATTGACTGTTTTATATCATTCATGTGAGTTTCCAAGATCTGACCATCACAGACAGATTCTATTGGGTGGCATTTCTTCTGGTAGCAAGGTTGGCTATAGTAGAATTGCAGAGTTGGGGAAGTGCATGGGTATCAGGGAGCCACCGAATTCTGGCCATCTGTCTTATAGTTGTTTATCCCATGCATATAAAGGAGTCCGTTTTCTGACCGTGGGCTCTTAAACAGTCTCTAACAGTGTCTACCCAGTGATCCACAAATTGCAAGTAGGCCGAGCCCAAGCTGAGGCAGAAGGGGCCTGGAGGGGGAAAGTCATCCTGACCCTTAGTAGCCCCACACGTTCTAAGGGAAAAGCTCTTAACAATCAAACAGAAAGTAAAGATGTGACAGTGTTGGAACATCAAGCTCAATCAGCTCAGGACTTCTAGGCAGCTCTCCTGGGGCAAAATCCAGACATAGCCAATCACAGTGACTTTTCTAAGACATATTTTTTTCTTTTTTTTTTTATTTCTTGCATACATGACTATAGTGAAGTGCCTTACAATCATAATTATCCATTCACAGCACAATTTTTCTTAACTCTGTATATAAAGTATGTTCATGCCAAATTATGCCATTATACATGAGCTCTCATTATTATTATTTTTGCATTACAATTCTTAATACACCTTTATCCACAATTTATCATATATCATATCAGTTGACACCAAATTCACATCTTCATACATGTATTTTGCATAATGATGAGGGTCTCCTTTCACCATCCATGCTATTCCCCTTCTCCCTCCCTTTCCCTCCCACCCCTATTCCCTATCTGGAGGTAATCTTCCTCCCACACTCTCCCTCCCTACCCCATTTTGAGTCACCCCCCTTAGACATTCGGCATTTGTGGGGTTTTTTGGGGGGGGTTGGCTAACTTCACTTAGCATAATCTGCTCTAATGCCATCCATTTCCCTGCAAATGCCATGATCTTATTCTTTTTTAGTGCCTAGTAATATTCCATTGTGTATATATGCCACATTTGTTTTTATCCATTCATCCATTGAAGGACATCTAGGTTGGCTCCACAGTTTAGCTATTGTGAATTGTGCTGCTATAAACATTGATGTGGCTGTGTCCCTGTAGTATGCTGTTTT